ATATGCATATAACTGCTATCCACTATTTGTGGGACTTTTTTAACTAGATTACAAAGTAGGCTATCCTTGCAACGTAGGTATTTCCAAGATCCACTCGTTATAAATTAGTTTATCTCTACAAAACTAATTTCGAACAAACAAACAGGCAGAAATTTTAAAATGGATGGTATATAGTTGACGATGTGGAAACAAGTATGTGCTTTATGTGTATTAGAAAGTAATAAAAATCTACATCGTGCTTATTCATAATTCAAGTTTGTCGTCGATCTGAATTTCGCTTAAATTATATACCTTAATAGCTATTATAGTTAATAGCTAATAGTTAATTAATTTTATTGAAAAATACATTATTTTATCATTTTCTTTTATTTTACTTCAATTAATATTATTAGCAATTACTTAGTTTTTTAAAGTTGAACTTAAATTTTTTAAGTCTTATCGCAATTTTATACATTTATACACGATCAAATTTTGAGAATAATAAAAAGTTGAATGAGTTCAATGACTTTATAATTTTAAAAATCTTGTTCTATACAAACTTTTAACTACTTACTGTAATAACGGTTTATCAATATGAGGCATTACAACTTTCATTATTTTGAATAAAATAATAATATTCATATTATTGCTATATGCATAATTTCAAAAAAATATTTAGTTTAATACTTTCATAGAAAAAATTAAATAAATAATATTGCTATATTTAATTATAATATTTATTTAAAATGTTTAGAAATAAAAACCAACAAATATTGTATGGTAATTTATTGCCATTTTTTGAATTTTCGAAATCATTTTTGTAAAATAGTGGGTACTGGGTGGGCATTGTCTGTAACTAGTATGTGTTTGAGACGTCTAAAACCTTACTCTCCCGTGACCATGATTGCTGTAAGCATACGAAGCGTCGAAACGTCGGGAACCAAAAATTAAAATAAATCCGCGAAATAATCCAAAAAAATAGTTTTATTTAAAATATTTATTTTCTTAAATTTTCTATACTTGAATTGTAATTTAGCTAATACACTCGTCAGACAGAACTTTAACAATGCAACTGTAGAGAATGAGAATCATTATTATCTGCCTGTTTTCTCTGAAGCCTATTAATTTTAAATGCCGGGTTTAATTAAGAAATATCTACTCCTAATATAAAGTTTCTTTAAAACACAACTATGGAATAATGCTATAAGAGTAACATTTGTGAGAGATTTAATAATAGCTAGTTTATACGTAATTTTATTAAGTTATGCACTTAGTTACTCAGCGAATTGTTTTAGGTCATAGCATAAAAAATATGGGCCTATTCTTTTTTTAAAGGTAATAAAATATATATTTGAATTTTCTAATCATCATTAAACTACTTATCTTTAATTTTAATATCCTTGTAATCAATTTTCAATCTTCAAACTGAATATTGACGCAGGAGATGAGATATGTAATACGATGTCTCCACAAACAAAAGATCTCTCTATTACTTCACTCAGAAAGTCCTATCGGACTCCAATCCGAAGAATAAGAAAATGATAAAGTTCAACACTAATGCTGCATGTGGTCTCCCAGACCAAAGTGGTATAACACTGCTGTTTCAAATTCCAAGAACCACGAACCATTTCCGACCGTCGTCCCGAAGCTCGAACTCAGGACCTACTGATCTAAAGCCATTCAAGCCACTAGACTATCAATTTTTATAATAAAATATAAGCGAATAGCAATTTATGTACAATTTCAATTACACACACTGTAACGGGTCGTGTACTTTGTCCTAATCGTAATACAATAACTTATCCATTATAACTGATCCGTGTTTTAAATGTTATACCAAATTGTTTATCGAACACTAAAAGAAAGCGTCTCTATTCCCTAGATAGTAGGTTTAAAATCCCATAAAACTGGTGACTTTTCTTTATTATAATGTCAAATTAATCTTGCACCATACACCGGAATGCTCTAACTAGCATCTTCAAAAGTCAAGGCAATTCACGAATGCATCTGTAACGTTCATACAAATCTAAAATCTTAATAGGTTTTTTGCCATTCCTGTATAACAGTTGACATTTCATTGAATTTAAATCTGCCGTGAAACTGTCAAGTTGTGTGTTCCTAATTCTTTTTCTCCCCAACGGCTAGACCGATTTTGAAGTTTTTTTGTGGGGTCACCTGGGCGGTTTTTAGCTGTAGTTGGTTCCGGTGATGGCGCTGTGGTGCTATTGTTGTGTTGTGTACCCTTTTTTGTACGTCCCACTGCTGGGCACAGGCCTCTCTTCAATACAAGAGGGATCAGGCCATAGTCCACCACGCTGGCCAAGTGCGAGTTGGCGGAATTCACATATCTTTCGAAAACTTGCTAGGTTTCTCAGATATGCTGGTTTCCTCACGATATTTTCCTTCACCATAAGACAAGTGGTAATCATGTTGGAAATGATTCGCACATAAAAATATCACAGGTGTGAGACCCGGGATTTGAACCCGCATCACTTGGTTTCCTCTGCCTCTTGTTGTTAAGAGCCTTTTTTTAAACTATTTAATTAATTTTTAAAAAAATTTAAAAAGCCAATGTTGAATAGGGATGTATTTAACTGTACAGTACTAATGTATCCAAATAGATTCTGGTTCGGTTATTATCTGATATTCAATTTTATGTGACATCCAAAGCTTAGTTTTAATATTAGCAGAATCATATATTATATCAAAACAAAAGGTCCGATCTCAATTATTGAAATATTTAGATGCTTTCATAGAATTATATTTTATAAAACAAATTTAGGAGCTTTCTTGTAATAAAAAACAAAACAAGTAAACAATATTAATATTATCTTTATTAAGATAGATAAGTACATAATTGACAATATAAACAATGAAATAGGAAATCTGAGAGAACAGGCTTAAGGCAGAAACTATATCAGTCTATAATTTACTAGGAAAGTAATAATTGTATACCAATTACATTAAATTCATTCATAGGATAGTTTATGGGGTATAAAGGCTTATACTTTGTAATAGACGTTGCGATTTATATTATATTAAAACAATAAATTTGAATAAATTACTTTTTATATGTAGTAATTTAAAAAACACACCCTTCCGATAGAACGTATGAACAAACAGCTTAATCGAAGCAAGTCACGTATATATAAGTACATCGGAATCAAGATAAAGTATTTAAAGCTTATATAGGCTAATACAGTCATGTTCTAAACTAGTTCTAACATTTAAATATTTATTTGAAGTATACATGTGGTTAAAAAAATCAGGTATATCCATGAATATCACAATTACAATTCGTTGCTTCCTACAAATTTAGGTGAAGCAGTCGGACTCTATTTAACCGTTTCAAAGGACCCGCGTGTTTAGAATACTCTTAAAGTTTTTTAGTCCGTACAATCGTGGCCATATTGGATAGTAGATGTTACTGAAGCTATTTTGATGAAACACGATTTTAAGGAATAGGAAATAAAATAAGAATGGCAGAAAAATTAAAAAAATGAGCTAAAAAACTAACCTATACATGTAGTGGGATAAAAAGGCTTACGTGAAATTACTCATATAATAATATGACGTGATGATCAAGAATATTGTTTAGTTTATAGTTTAATAATAATAAATAAAAATTATAATTGGCAGTAATATTTTAATAGAAAGTACTAGAATATATGTGGGGTCTAAATATAAATATTTTACTTATTTTTGTTTATAAGTATTATACACACCGTACAGTTGATGATACACTACAGGTTTTTATATATGAATAGTAAGTATATACGTTTTGAAGGATATAAGGAAGACTGGGGTTCCAAAAGTGGCCGCTTCATCAAAATTTCTTCGGCAGTTAAAAACTAACGAAACACTTATGTCTTTATACATTTTCTAAGTATTTATATATAAGATATTGTACATATATTTTGATAAATACGTTGGTATATTCATAAGAGTTTTGTGTACCTACAATTGACAACTAAGTGCGTACAACTACAAATTTACAAAATAATAATCAAACAATCTTAAAATCTAAGTTTGTTAATTAAATAAAAATATTCATTAAATCAAAATTAGTTTATTCGAAACGAAATACTAAAACGCATTTGTTTAAAAATAATATTCAACATGTGCTTTCTACATTATTTTTATAATTATAACATGGCATCTTTATTATAAATATATAACATAATCAAATCTTACATCTACAATAACAATCGAAGGCCCTTTATATAGAAGACTATATTTTATCAATTTATAGTGGGTACTTTGTCAACTGGCCCTTATAATATTAGCGAAAAGAACGTAAAAATATATTTCAATTCCAAAAAAATTATTATTGCAGGAATGTTTTTTTTTTTGAGCAAACCCGAAAGAAAACTAAATTATGAGTATTTTGTATGAAGCATAGCCAAATCATTTACACATCTATAGATATGATGTGATATGTTTATAAGCAAAGACGCAGCTGGTCGAGATATATTTTTTTTATTTATTTTTTTTTCATTTATTAGAATTGATAACTTTACGAAGTATATATTTTTACTTATTACCAATTCCTAATATTAATTTGGGTACTTTTACTAAAATTTAATATTTAATTTAAAATATTCTCTTCTCATTGTTGCGCGTCACTTTAATATTTTAGTGTAACGATACTGTATTTTAAAGTAATGTTTGGTATAATGTATGAAAAAATATTAAGTTTAAAAACCTGAAAATATCAAGGTATATGTAAATATATAAGCATTTTGAACACATCTATCGATAAAGTATAGTATGTGTACTATTTGTAATGAAATTCATGAAATTAATCAAAATGTTGATAGTCTGGCAGTTGATATTTCGGACATCAATTCGTCACAAATTAATGTGTTAAAAATCCATTTAGAAAAGATAAGTTGCTAATTTCAATTATACATTAAATTGTCAAAATATTTAAAGCAGACTATATATATTCGCAACTTTTGTTTCTATAATATATAATAAAAATTAGCATTATATCTCAGTCGACGAATCCGAGGTTTTTATGTAAAAAAATTGTCTCTTTGTTGGTAAATTGGCAGTTCGACGTCCGGGGAACGATCTTCGTAATCATCAGTGTTGTCTTGTAATGGCAGCTCTTCTAATGCTTTAACTGTCGATATAACAAACATATCGTATAATTTATTAAAATATTCCCTATTTTCAATACATTTCTCAAACTATAAAAACAAACGATGCAACTAAATTAAAAAAAATCAAAAGGTCTACTCACAACAAAATGCAAACAACGAAACCATGCTGCGATCGATATTGAATGAATCTTCGAATGCTTCTAACCGCCGGAATAATGTTGACTTTCATACAATTGTGTGTGATAATTTTGATAAAATGAGTGTTCTTATTGTTGATAATGATATAACTAGTGTTGTTTTTGATAACATAACTATAGTGCGTGATATTGAAAGTGCTAAATGTTTAGTTGTTTCCGCTCGATGGCCCGTCAGTGTTGGTTCCTGAGATACAAACATCAAGCGAATTATAGTTACATACATGCGCACACGTGATGTTAGTCACTGAAAAAGGAGAACTATCAAAGCTTCGCAGTCAAAGATGTGAAAAAAAAATTGAGAATCACAATTTGATGTATTTCGAAGCTAGAGACATTTTTCTACATAACGAAATAGCTTTAGAAACCTCATTTACCATAATGATTTGCTCTAGAAATCTCGCTAATATTAATAAATTAGTGTTTATAAAAAATATTTATAGAAATTATTAAGAATTACCAGATATAAAAATTGAATGAGATAATTGTGATTCTTTAGACAAATGAAATTGTGATTTTTAAAACTTTAACCGTGTGATTTTTTCATTCAGGTAAAGAGCTATAAAATTTTATTTTTAATGTTTCATGCTTTGATAATTCTCGTAATACAATTCTGGCAAAAAATAAAAATTATAAAACAAACAATCTATTAGATAATATTACAAAAATAATACTTCTACAGTGTAGTTAGATATTATATAATACGTAGCTAAAAGGGAATAAAAACACTTGCTATGCTTAATGGTCAACATTTTGGATCAAAAAGACATTATAATATTGTAATAATATTAAAATCTTGCCTGTACGTTAAAAACATTGTGTGTATGAAAAATATAAGATATTCCACATTAAATAAAAATTTATATTAATTATTGAACTTAATTAGTTGGATCGGAATTTGAAAAAAAATATTATTTATTGGGTATGCCTTTAACAAAATACAAAAAAAAAATAATGTTGATGTAATGAGTCATCTCGCAAATCGTAACAGGAAAATCAAAGTCTGACTCTTTGTCCGTTTGCATGACAAAAATTATAGCAATTCACTTTCGCTACGGTTTTCCATCTTATATTTAGTTTAAAAAGTAAAACAATGATTCAAATACCATGAAATACGAATCTGATACATTTTTAATCTTAAATGAAATATACACGTACCTATGGCATTTATAAGAAATTCCATGTCAAACCCACCAGTATACCGACACCGCATAAATCATGCGATAATTTAAAATATGTGTAAATTCATTATATTTGTTTATGATGTGACAAAAGATATTTTCGGTATGCAGTTCATGGCAAAGCTCCCGCATATTCGTGCATTTACTTCGCTATGTCTACAATTTGGATATTATCTTTTATTATTTAAATCATTGAATTCATTTTATTATTCTTTATTTTAAATGACTTTATCTGTTCTGTATATATGTCAAATATAATTACCAATTCTTATTCAGATTTTTCACTATCTAAACATTCTATACAACTATAGTGAGAATTTATTTTAATTCATAATGAAATTGATCAACTGTCATAATTTTTTATTAATTTTATTAGTGGACACTAATAAAATAAGTAAATTAATTACAGGAGGAAACTATAGAACTCTAATTGCTGTTTTAAAACTACCGACATCAGTTACAGCTGTAGTGCTTAGTAACAGTTCTAGTAGTAGGTAATTTATCGGTCGAAGTTAATTCTGCCGCCTGGTGGTAGATTTGCTTATCGCCAAACCGATCATATCTATATTTTATAATATTTTATATATACCCAAAAACAATATTTTGAATGGCTAAGTTGATAGGAGATGCTTCAGGAAGCTTTCTCACGAGTTAAGTTATACTATATATATATATATATACATTTTTTTGTAAAATAGTGGGTAGGCACTGTCTGTAACAACATAGTTTTATTTAAAATGTCAAATATTCGCGTAAATCTAAGAAAGTATTACGATACAAAGTCTTTGTTAAATATATTGAAACAGTAACATAAAACAAGTTCATAACTTGAAGTAATGTACATATGTATGTAATATGTAAGAAACATTAAATTAACCATTGAGCATAACACACAAAACCAGCGTAACTAACAAAGCGGGGTTCTCACCGGCGATTATTTTGCTCATCTCCGTGACCTGCTTGGCGAGGATCTGGTTCATTTGCAGTAAGTGCTCGCGTTGCTTCTTCTCTTCACCGTCCGGGCTCTAATTAACAACGCTTATGTACATTCGAAGCGTCTATGTCAAGCGGTGTTTGCTTTTGAAGATGTTTTTGGATTTTTTTACGTATACGTATTAATAGTTAATGAAAAAATAGAATATTAAGATTTTAGTTCAATAAAACTACAATATTTTAATGTTTAATTGAAAAATATTGATAAAATGTACCTTTAAGAATATTGTACCAAAAAAAATTGATTCGATAAATCAATTAAAAGATAAATATCATGCCAATTAGATTCCAAAAATATCTTCATAACTTAACATTTATATAGCAAACACAATGTCTATCAACAGTATTACATTAACAATACATCTAGAAACAGTTAGAGCTGAAGTAAATGATATGAGAAGATAAGGTTCATGCAAAATGATACATTCAGAACAACAGAAGCTGAGTGTTCTATGCACGATGCATTTTTACAGTAAATGGAATATGTGCCGTGTTATACTCGTACCTATAATCTTATTAGGACTTATAATTTTTTAATGTATTTAAAATACTTAATAGAAACATTTTTAAATATCAAATATTCTGTTAAATAATATAGTATGGTCAACTGTACACTTTAAGACCATTTATTTGTACTAATTATGTTATCTATACAGATAAATAAAATTGAAGTGTCAAAATATCAGCTTTTTATATCTACTTGCATATGAAATATATGTAATTTTAAACGGTACTTAAAAGAAAACATTTTTTTAAATTTTTTGTCTGTCTGTCTGTTTGTTCCGACTAATCTCCGAAACGTCTGGACTGATTTTGACGGGAACTTTAACTGGCAGATAGCTGATGTTATAAGGAGTAACTTAGCCTAACTTTTTTTTTAGAAAAAGAATTAGGGTTCCGCTAAAAAAAACGGATACACCCGAACGAAGCATGGGTAAGAGAGTTTTAAGAGTTTTAAATACTAATAGTTTAAGTAAATTCTTACCCAAATTTTAATCATTAACACTTAAATATTAGATAAAATAAAGAATAGTAAAATATAAAAATATTCATTTTACATTGTAAAAATACAAAGTCATCAACAGTTCAGGAATAAGACGTTTGTCTTGTTCCTTTTTACCGAGTATCTTATCGAGTTCCTCATTTACTAAGGTACAATGGACATATTCCATAAACGTAAATCAAATATTATTCAATTCAATAATGAAAAAGCCTGTACATGATTACAGAATATGAAAATGGTTACGCCGTTCATAAATAACTAAACATGATGGCTATTCATATTTCAAGAAACTTTTGTTGATAATGATTTAAGTGTTAATAATAGGTAAAATGTATATTATACTGAATTATTTAAAAGATTATCACGTTTAGTATAAGTTCTATATGGGCGTGCAATTGGATTAATTTAAAAATGCTACACATTTGAAAGTAGGGAGATATGTATGATTTTTGAAGTATATAAGTGTTTAAGGAAAGTTTATAGTTGCACGCCATCGTATGTCCATATATTTGACTAACCTTGCTAGGATCGGCTGAAGAACCGGTGAGCATTTTCTTAATAGATTCCACTTTTTCTTGGCGTTTCTGCTGTTCCTCTGGCGAGAGTTCTGGAGGCTGTGGTAGGAATATTTAAAATATTATACTTATTTAAAGTTTTGAATCTAACTTTTGTGTTAATCCAGAAAATAAGATATCTAAATTTTGAATTTCACACACACACGTCGGACCGCTATTGCGAGAATTCATAATAACATAATATTCTCATTTATAAAAATTCATATTTATAATGATACCGTCTATAAAGTCGTATGTTTATTTCGAACTGACCACAGTATTACGTAACATGTGAAAAATCACCATTCTGAAAACACTTTTTTTCCCGTCGTTTCAAATGCTTTACAGCAATCATGGTGACGGGGGAGACTACGACATTTGACATTAAAATGTCAAATATTCGCGTAAATCTAAAAAAGTATTAAGCGATATCGATTATAGAAAGTATAACTATTTTCTATGGTAGATAAATACTGACCTTCTCCGGAATATACCGTTCAGGGATGACTATCTTCTGCGGAGCTGCGAGCAGTTGGTCGATAGAATCTGGGATCTTTCTAGAAGGTAAGGCAGATCTCACTACATCCGGCGCCGCCCCGCGAAGAGCTCGCTCCATGTCCGCGTCGTCCAACGATCTGCCTAATGCCTACGGATTGTTCGATGATATTGAATTAAAGTTTTAAATATTCGATTGTATTTTTATATGTATATGTTATGCGATATTTTGGCCAATTGTTACCTGAATTTATTGCACACACAAGGATAATACATATAATATAAAGAAAAAGAAAGATAACAAAAGGCATGTAAAGGCGGTCCTATTGCTATAAACAATCAAAGCAATGAATTTAATTACTATATTAACCCAAGTTTAAAGTGATTTTGAAGTTCATATACACTTATATAGAAAAATAAAAAATAGAGATAAAATCTTGAAATATTTGAACATTTACAATAAGGATTCTGAAAATGTGAAAACTAAAAATAGTGAGGTAGATAAAACTTACATCTTGGTTATACCCGTCTTTAGGCATTTCATTAAGTGTTTTAGCGCTTAGGTGATGAGGCGCGGTGTTATGTCTTCTCTTTTCTTTCGGAACTTGCCGACGATGCATCGAACCATTATCGTTCATCTCAGTCACTATTTGTTTTGCTGCTTCGCTTTTAAATATCGGAGACAATTCTATATTAGATCGCGTCAAACTTATAATACTACTTGTTTTCGACATATTCGTCAATGTTCTAGAACTGTCTGTCGGACTGTTTATGTACTGATTGGAAAGACTCCTATCGTGTCTGTAGTTTTTATTGTAACTGCTACTTAATGATGATATATCGCGAGAGTAATCGTAGTTAGATAAAGAAGGGCTTGATGGATATTTAGGACTTTCTAGATTTTTGTCTTGTCTATGATAGTCTGTATGTTTGTAATAATCTTCGTATTTATAATCTGTGCGTGGGAGAGAGGAGGCTCGGTAATTGTTTATGGGCTGTACAAGTTCTTCTTCAAGGAATTGGTCTAAATTAGCGGTGATATTGTTAGACCAGTCGGACATGGGTTGTAAAGAACGTTCACGATCACGCTGACGTCTTTCGCTCTCTCGTTTGACAATGCGAACGGTTTTTATTTCTTGCTTCTCAACATTCGATAGATTACCTGAAATATTAAAGATCACATTTGTTTTTAACTAATACTTTAAATTTATTTATTAATAGTTGATGAATTTTTAAGTGTTTTAAATGAATAATAAATAAATATGTTGGGACATTAACACACAGCACCATCTAGTTACATGGTAAGCTACGAGGCTTATGTTATGAATACGAGATAGTTGATACACTACACATATAACTTTAAATACATACATATTATAAATATAAACACCCACGACTGGAGAACAAATGTTCGTGCTAATAACACAAGTGAGTGCCCCTAGCAGGACTCGAACCCGCGACCACTGGCAAGGTCACTACAAATTGAGCCAAACTTGTCGTCAAATTTACATCAATACATTTCTAAATAATGAAATTAGTTTTACAACTTCTATTTACCGTGAATACATTAATTCAATAAATGCCATTATACAATTTAAGCTTACCAAAACCACTATTCTGCATATCTTCACTATTGATGGGCGTCACGTCCATTGTCCTCGTGTCCACATACAAGGGAGTCTCCATGCTTCGTCCATAGTGTCCTGGAGGCAAAGGATCATCGAAGTATTCCGACTGTCCGTGGTCGATAGTGTGACCGGTGTCTAGATTGGTTTCTTGCCATGATGTTGTTGGACGACGTTTGCCTGGTTTTTGAGTAAAATATCTATTTAACTAGCGAACTAGCTTGCTTCCCCATATAAACTTTCATCCCCATTCTCACCCAATTAAGGGATGATTTCCGGGATAAAAATTATTTCATTCACTCGCTTTTCATATCATGGGACTTAAAAAAAACTCTATTTAGTAAAAAAAATTCTTTTAATTTTCTTTTATACAAAACTTCCTGACAACACAAAAAAAGAATTTGGTGCAGTCGATCGGAAGTTATGCGCGTACAAACATTTAGGTGATTCATTTTTATTTATATAGATTATTTCAGGGATGATTTTTTTATTGACAATAATGTATGGACATTCTTGATAGGTTTTCACTACACTATTCTACTGAGTGTTTTTTGTCTCGGTGGACTAGTTACTAGGGCTAGGATATACAGCTGCTCTTAGGTTCGAGTCTCAGGTCGCGCCATGTTTAGGTATTGAGTATAAGTGAGATTGGCTGCCGTGGCCGGTTAGAAGGGCATCATCATCACATATTATTGAGTGTAATAAGGTTTAGGACCTAGGACGTAGTTTAAGATAAAGGCTCAGACCGAGGGGATGCGGCTCTACTACCAATTCCAAAAGTCACTAGACCGTTTATATTGACACACTGATCCAAATTGAACTAAAGGCTAGTAGGTATTAGGTAAATTAAACATACCAGGCATAGAATCATGGGTGGTTTGTAGTGCGTGGGACTGCTGCGTGAGGTGTCTGACGGCGCGGCTCAGTTCCTGCCTCTGTCGCTGCAATGCGGACACTAAGTGTTGTACGCGGGATACTTCTGGATACAAAAATAATAAGTGTTGTGTTACGTGAAGGTTTTATTAAAAATATTGAATAAGCATTGTTTAAATCATTTTTGAACTATAAAAAAATATTGAATAAGATAAGGGACTGCCTTAAAATTTCCAATTCCTAACTCCAGTAGTTTTGGTTATTGCGCTGAGCACAGTGGTATATATAATATTACCAACTTGTAGTTTGTTCGGTAAAGTACATTTTCGTCATTGTCATTCTGCTTCCATCTACTACTGGACAAAGGCCTCCACTGTGGCATGTCACTGAGTACTTTAGCTCTACACACTCAACCAATGCCGCTAAGTTTGCCAAATAGTGGTCTCTATTTTAAAAACCGTCTACAGCCCTACGTATTCAATCGCTACCAGCCACTTAGCGTATATACGTTTACTGAGTCGTTAACTCCGCCTCTTATCCGTCTACCCAAATATTTCTTAAAATAACTAGGTACATATTTTAATATAATTTATAATTAACTCTATTATCTATCTAATTTTTTATTATAATTAACTCAATATAAAATATAAAAATAAATAAATAAATTAATAATTTCATACGTAATATTTAAGGCTGAGTTGTTTTATTACTAACAGATATGGACGTAATATCTTAAATTAAAAAAAAATATTATTATTAAGTCAGACTAACCGTCCTCCAGCATAGCGGTGGGATGGCTGGCGTGGTGCGGCGGCGCGGGCGCGGCGCGCTGTGCCCGCAGCGCGCGCCGCAGGTGGTGCAGCTCGCGCTCGAGGCGCGCGTTGTCTGCCACTGTTTGTTCTAGTTTCTGTTTCATGTTATGTTTTTATTAGACTACTATTATTATTAATGCGAAAGTTTGTATGTGTGCATGTGTGTGTGTTTGTTACTATGACACACAGCAAAACTGCTGAACGGATTTGGATGTTTAGGCTGTTAGATGTATAAGGACGCACCCGAGTGAGGGTACGTCGCTTGTGTAAAAATATTATTCATGTAGAAAAAAAATGGATTATAAGTGGCAACACCGTATTGAGTTTTCGCTCGAAAAATATATTTTATTGTAGACACCGTTATAACTTTATCAATCCTTGTTGCTGAAACTATAACATGATGAGAGAACACGCTCAATGAACTATTATTTCTAATCCCGTTCTTTATCATTGGATAGAGTTGGCACTAGCCATTCTCCATCTGCACGGGACATTATTATACTAGTAAAGAGCACTATCTTCAGTTTTACAGTATTAGTATAGTTTATTATATTATGCATATTATTTGCTTATTATTGTAAAGTTTTGAATCATATTTTATTCAAATCAACAAGTGCACACTTGTTTATGAAATTGTTATCTTACATTATCTGAGATAGTATATCTATTTTCAATAATACACAAGTCATGATTTAAACCCGTGGATTGTATCTTCATGCAAACGAAATAGAAACAAAGAAAACCCATTTTTTTATAATACAAACGGGGATCAACAAAATAAAAAATATCAATGTTAATTAAATTAGAAAGTTAATACACAACTAAAAAGGGTATATTGGTTGTGAAACATTTGGAAAAGATAAAAATAATAAAAGTGCATGGTATAGATGAAAACCTTATAAACCTTAGAATTGTGCGCCAACATGGCGTGCACGCGCGCCAATTCTGCTTCCAAGCCGGAGTTAGGGGGTTGCCGAGATCCAATATTGACACTGTCTAATTTACTGCGAACACCTGGAAATTTTTATTTTCATGTAATTTATTTGTGTCTACTTCCTCTGCTGTTAAGAGTCGTTGACTAATATTCTTTAAGCTGAATAAATATTAATAGGTTATAAAATGTAAAAAAAAATTTTTTCAAATAATATATCCACAGATTATTGTGTTCAGAAGAAAACAAAAAATAAAGTTTTCGGCTTTACATACTATTTATTTTCAAGTGTATATTTACCAGTAAGTAAAGAATCAATGGCGTCTTTATCCGTTTTCAACCCCTGAAGTATCGCTGCCTCGTCAGCCAGTTCCTGTTCCAACGCCCACAGCTCAGCGACACGCACTCGCGCTGCTTCGGTCTCTAACGGCTTGCCTGCCGCTGCACTCTCTATCCATCTGTTTATTAAAAAAAAATTTGACTACTGTTTCTTTGGATGTTATTTAAAAATTATGAAAATGTTATTGAATATTCTTTTATTTCGCTCCGAAACCTTTTTATTTAATTTGTGTATAAGTACCCACATTTGTTCTTATTTATATCTTTTTTTATTGGCTGACTTTTATGAATGTTGTAATTTATATGATAATTTTTTAATGAACCTAGGTCAAAGACCGTTCTAAACACGGACGGTCTAAGAAAAGTAATACCCAGAATGTAGGTAGTCTCTTTATAGTTTAGGAGTAATTATATTAATATTTGCGTAAATCTAAGAAAGTATTCTACATTTGCGTCTGGAAAAGTTCTATTACAAAACGTATCAATTAATATGTTTATATTTATATTGTTGTTATTTTTATTTTCATAAATCAAAACTTAAACAACGTTGACAAGAGACATGTCAATTTTGAAAACTTCCCATTTTACGTCCCCATTTCCACCAAAGTATCAATTTACACCAAAATAAAAACCGATTTTTCTAAAGTATGATTTCTTCATAAAAGTTTTTGAGATGACTATCCAAATACACAATACTATCCTATTTGCGATGTTTGAAAACACTTTTGGACATATTCTTTAAAAAAAATGCCATATCTCACCTTTGCTGTTCAATAGCATGTTCTGCAAGAACTTTCTGTCTCAGCCTTTGATTTCTTTCTAATCTCTCGATTGTTGATCCAGGTCTGTTGTACAGAGAACCTAACTTGACCATATTATCTACCAGTTGTACCAACGGCTTACTTTTCTTATATTGGCTTTCCAATTCCATAAGTTGCATTTTTAATTGTTCCAAACGTTGCAAGCTTTCTTCTCGTTCCATTGCTTTTAGCGAACTAAGACAATCCTGTAATTCAGTGTAATATATAAAATATATTTTATAACAAATACTGTGGTAGATTAATTGAGATTAGCATAAAATTAAATCATATAATGTTAACGGAATGTTAAGCAGTTATTGCAATAATAATTTCATTAATCTTGGTTAAATTTATCTGTTAGTTTGTAGACAAGTGAACTGTTATTATCTAAAATGAATTTACGAAAAAAGTATTAAAAAGACGTTATTATTAATTCGATTTCTTTACACGTTAAGTTTGTGAAAATACAAAAAAGTAAAGCATTCTGTTTACACATGCGTTAAAACAATGAAACGACACAAAAACTGGCACAACACACTGATGCAAATATTAACGACGATACATAACAAAAAAGCAAAAAAAGCACCTCAATACTATTTATCTGAGCGCAGCAAGTTTCGATAGAGCGATGTGTGGCCGCATGTCGACGCCTTAATTGGATCAATAGTAGAACTAGCTCTTCATGACTTCTCCCTAAAAGCTCTCCAGCAGTAGGAATTTCCCCGATTTCATTATTCTGAACTTCCTTTTGCTAACACAATGAAAACAATGCAAAATAAAATCATAAAGCATGACATCTACGACATATGAACAAAAATAACATTTAAATTCTATACTAAACAAAATGCAATACTTATATAAATATAAAGTATTTTAAACAAAAATATATAACAAATATCAAATTGAATAGTGTGCTTTCTTAAAAAATATTATAATAATATGTGAAACTATGTTTACATGGCAACGTGCACTTGAGTAATATCATCCAATAATTAAAAAAAAAAGGATTAACTATGCATACACTATGGTACTTATGGGGACAATTGTTGCAATATTTCTACATTCTGCCAGTCGCAAAATCAAATATCAAAATAATAGCAAATGTGAAACTCTCATTCTACCCTAAAAATAAAGACTTACCATGTCGTCGTTTTCAGTGTTCCTCCGAACTCTAGGACTAACAGCCCTAATCGGTTGTTGTTGAGCTCTGGATGGTGATCTAATTGTTGTCCAAGCTTCCTCTGTTCCTGTTACATGTAACTAAAATAAAAGTTAAAATTTTACCATGATGACATCTAGTTAGTTATATGACATAATTGTCTACCTCTGTGGTATAGGAGGTAGCATGAACGGTCGTAGATCGGAAGGTCCAGGGTTTGAGTGCCGGATCGGGCCAAGTTCAGTTATTGTTTATTTCTGTCAAGAAATTCTCAGTAATAGCCCGTAGTTAACCCCCGTCTTGTGCCTCGGAGAGCACGTAAAGCTGTCGGTCCTGCGCCTTAACTCTCACCGGTCGTGTCGAAGTATCGTCCCACCGGACTTTAAGAGTAAAAGGAATACAGAATGCATGTGGGTCTGTGCATACACTTGTGCACTATAATACCTCCTGCGCATCTGGTTAGTCTCAGTGAGATTGGCCGCCGTGGCCGAAATTGGTCAGGAGAACATTATATGACGAAATTTAGAAAAAAATGTTTTTCCAAATATTACCAAATCAAATTAGTCACGCTATACATATATTTAATAAGTACATATGTAATTCATTATAATTTACTCGAGCTTAAAGGCAATTACAACAATTATGATTTAAATAATTATAATTATTTAACAAAAAATATAAAAATACACTTACATTTTGTTGCGATGATGTAATCTGTTGTGAGCCATAATGATCATTAGCAGGTTTTTCCTCTACCCATCGTACTCTAGGACTTACAGCTCGAACTGGTATATTGCCATCTCTATTACTTCTACCGATAGATGTGTTACTTCCGAGAAATGCTTTCTTTGACAATGCTTGCTGAATTTGATTATTGTTATTGTTATTTGGGCCTGGTTCTATATTTGTGCCTGACATCGTCATAGAAGCTGTGAATATTTTATAAAACTTTACAGTTTACTAGTTTACTTATAACTTAATATTTTTGTGAAATGATGCAATAATTCAATTACGTTTAAAATACTTGTAATAGATGGCAAAAACAGGATAAAGTGTTTGTTTTGATATATTAGTATATTTTTCATATTTACAATTAATAAAATACAATCCATGTTAAATTTGCATGCCAAATGTGTTTAATACACCTTATCGTGTTTAACCCATCCTTCGAATAAAATAAATATAAATAATATCCACATAAAAATGCCAAATTATTTACAAAAAAGTTTGACTTTCCTTTTTGCAGAAATCAAATAGAAATGGAACTTACATCTTGTATCTTACAGGACCATATCGCTATAGGATACCTTCATTGCTTCTGTCAGTTCCATTGTCCGTATTACAAATAGATTCACTAGTGCCCATACCAACTACTACACCCCGCACGCGCCTCGCCTCACCTTTCATTAAGCCACTCGACATTAAATCCCACTGTCGAAGGTTTTCCCTATCTATTTCGAATTGGCGCCTATTTTTTATTTGTCGTCTTGTCTGTTCGTTAGCTAATTCATGAGAAACAAGTGAACTTTCTGTTGGGTCAATAGCCAATTGTTCGTAAACTCCTTCGTCATATTGCTCAATAGCGACCTCAGAATCTTCTGCAAGACTTACATAAACATCATCTTCGTCTTTTTCTTCCTTTTTCATCAATTTTTCTCCTGGAATATTCTGTCTTTGTTTCCGAACCTGACTTTGTATATCACAATTTACATATGTTGCACTTGTAATTTTATCTGACACGGGTCTCTTTATGCGTTTTATACTATTCATTGTAGAGGAACCTGGATATGTTCTATCTAAAATTGGATTTCCACTCGGCATTGTATCTAAATCATCCATTGACCTCGCATGTCTATGTGAAACTCGTCTTAAATTGTCCCGCCACAAAATATCTTCATCCCACTGTTTTTCTCCATGATACATGACATTTTCATAAGCGCCTGCTTCTGCTTCTGCATCATAATATACTGTGTTTGATGAATTTTCGCTACAATGTGAAGACATACTCCCAGTTGAAAGTTTCGTCAATGTATTTCCTTGAATACCATTCGGACTTAAGATACTTATGTCTGGAGAGGACGTTTGGTCATAGTTTTTATTTTTTGTACTTTTTTTACAAGTAAGACTAGAAATTAAATTCATAGATTCTGGTATTTTGGATGTTTTACTACTAGTACATTCATAAATATTTTTTAAATCAATATCAGGTGTTTTTTCAACTACACTTAAAAATTCCACTGATACGCTTCTAGCTGATGCTGCTAAATCGAATTGTTGCTCAGACAACAGCACATGATTGCTACGAATCGGATTGTGGATATGTGATATTTCATTTTTCTTATTCAATGGACCTCTACGTCTTTGATTATTTAGTTTACGGTGTATATTCGTATTTTTTAAATAATGTGATATGGGAAGTACATTTATATGTTCCTGTGAAGAAAGGTCTGAATAATAATAAGGTGCACTATGTTCTGTAGAACTCTCTCTACTATGAAAGCCGGTAGTTGTAGAAGACCCTGCTGTTTCATTATCTTGTTTTAGAGTTAATTTTTCCGAATTAAATTCTTTTACTTTATCTGCCAACATATTATTATTAAGATTTTTTCGTTTCATTGTGTCCCCGTTGTAATTTTTACGGTAAAAAGAAATCGGAGATGTCGGTAGACCGCCAGAACTACAAGAGCTTTGAGAACCCATATACTCAAAACTATTTCCATAGTTAAATTTACTATGAACGTTTAAAGTACTTCTTTCTTCATCAGAAACACCAACCATATTTTGAGAGACTGGCGTACTCGAAGAACGCTTGTGTGATATCGAATTAGATTCATTAAATGTATGAGTAGTATTTATCGAGTAGCTATTGGTACTGACCCTATGAGATTTTATAAAATTATTATTTAAGTTATTTCCACTTGTACTTTCTTCAAGATTATATAAATATGAATCTAAAGTAATATTAGGACCTATTTCACTTGTTGTAAGAGTGTCTGATTCGTTAACTTCAAATATAGAATCATCCGATAAAGGCCTTCTTTTAATTAAATTTTCAAAATTAGTAGCTTCGTAAGGATGCCGCAAATCAATCATTGATTCTGAATCCAGTAAACTACTAATTTCCGAAATATTTGAGGGCGCTGTTTCAAATTTACTACTGACATCTGATTCCAAAGACAATCTGGAAGATCCCTTGTCGGCGTTATAACTTCTAATAGAATCTGTATCAACACCGCTACTATTTTGTTGGTCTGTCACAGTATCACTTAAAAAGTTACTCGATGTATCAGCGGATTTATTTCTTTCGTTTGTCAAACTGGCCCTGCTATTACGAATTTTTTCACCTCTAGTAAGAGTATCATGAATTGATGTCCGACTGCCATATATCATCAAAGATGTAGTTCTCTTTTTCATTTTATTCCTTTTTTGATTTTCGCTTGTCAACATTTTGATTATAGAATTATCTTGAGGGATATCAGATTTATCTAGTTTATCTAAAATATATTTAGATAGCTCTTCATCTAGTATATCATCAAAAGGAGGGGAAGAACTGGGTACTGGTGGGGGTGGCAAAATATCACTGTCTGAACTATCTTGTCTCTCAAGCATAGTGCTACTTCCACCTAAGTAATATGAAGCAGGTCGAAACGTATCAGAAATGCTAAATCTACAAAATGGTGCATCAAGTGATATTTCCTTATTATCTTCATCTAAATCTGACGTCTCCACTTTTTCTTTTACTACTCCTTTAGAGTTTCTCTTCAACGTTTGATCTTTCGTATCTGCAAAATTCGATGCTGTATCTAATGAAGATTTGGTCAGTTCCTCATCATTGGGTTTTTGGGAAATAACATTAGTCAATTCCATATAAACAGGTTCTGGTTTTACATCATTTACACAAACAATCTCATAGGTCTGCATATCATCTTCTTCTACACCTAAATTCATTTCAACATAAGGATTATCTTCATAATGAAATGGCATAGACTGATCAAAAACGCTTATATTATCTAGTATTGTTTTATGTGCAGGCTCAATAGTTGATATTTTTCTTGGACTCATAGGCAAATAATGATCTTCTCCTAATGGAATCACAGTAGGTGGAGTTTCTGATTTTTGATCTGATTTTTCTGCTTTGTTTGTTAAATCTTCAATTATAGATTGTTTCGCAACACTGTTTTCATTATGATTGTCGACTTCACTGTCCGATGCTAACAAGACTTCATCTAGGTCGTTGTCAGTATATTCAATATGAGTTTCTGACTCAGCTTCACTGTCTTGAGTTTCATAGCCTTCATGATCACTTAGTGTTGATTCATTAGCTATACAAACTTTATTCTCCAGAGTTTCTATCGACTTTGAGAATATTAAATTATTACTTCTATTATTTGTATCATTATCTTCATCATTTACTAATTTAGGGAGGGAAACGGTGCAGAGTATATTTTCATACGTATTTTCTGCAGAAGAATTAACCATTGGCTCTACGTATGTTTGATCTGGTAGTGAATTTGAGCTAAGCGCGTGCGGAATCAGTTCGGTGAGAGAACTTGTGATATTAATGCTATGGGACCTTCCTGCCTGCATTCCCGTATTTTGCAGATCAGTGCCCGATGTTTCTTCTGGGGTGCAAAAGCGAAACCATTGTTTTAATATCTTTACCATTACTGAAGAAATAAATCGATTTCAGTTGGTAATGTGACTGTTAGTAATAATTTATTTGATTTATTATCAGTGTTAAAATACCTCTACTAATACAACACCAATATAATCAATTACCCACCACCACTAATAAACTAATTGAATATATTGTTAGTTAAATGTCCCAACAGGCAGGAAGGTACCTTTCCTTAAAGCGAAGTCATCATAAAATACAGTTGCAATTGATTTCAATGTAATTACTAATTAATATTTATAAGTATTGAACATCGTAAAAATATATTAAAAATATAAATAATATTAATTATGTGGCATTTTTATATTTCTATCAAATATATCAAATTTGTAATCATATTATGATACCCAAATCAAAATGAATTAGTGTAGAGACTAAATATATTTAAAAACATAAATTCTACGAATAAAAACTGAATTTAAGAAAAATATATACAATAAATGTAACTAAAAACATAGTTCATGCATTAAAATTAATAATCATGCTTGGCTTATCAAAATTAATCACTTTAATATATATAAATACGTAGCTCCATGCGTAAATCTGTTCTACGAGTACTAATAAACATGAGAAAAATCTTTACGAAGTACCTTCATCGTCCGAAGAATAGCTATTGTAAGATGCATTTTTGTAGGTTTTCGGTTTGAATTGATCTGATCGCAAAGATTGCCGGCTCTGATTTAGTGATCTTGCTAAAGAGATTGTTGCTGGAGTACTCTTTCGTGTAAGTGGTGATTGTAACATGCGCTGTTTCCATTCTAAGAGCCTCTTCATTGATTCTTCACGCTACGAAAAATGTAATTCATTCAATATACAAGGTATAATAAAAAAGTAATCCCTTGAAATCTCGATATAAAATGTATTTTAAATAAAATAATGTAACCGCAAAAGAATAAAATTTTAATGTTCACTTAAAATAAATATATGTATTTTATTGTATAAAAAAATTGAATAAATATAATTTTATGGACAAAAATTGTAATAAAATTTTAAGTATTTCTGGTATATTATTGTGGATTTAAAAATTAAGTTGAAAATACCTGTTGTACTTTTTTCTCACCATCTCTCTCAGTAGATGGTAATCTAGCACTAGCCGATCTCATAAAACTTTCACTTGGATCAAATTTTTCTTTTACAAAACCACTCACATTTGAACTATCACTCATTACACTGCCACTTCTATTCAGATAGTCCTTTTGATGCTCTTCTTTCTCCTTCAAGGTCCAATTAGAATTCATACCCTCTAGATCGCTATATTTAGAATTATAACTGACGTTGTCTCGCATATTTCTATTTACACTAAACTCAGTTTCATAATTGTTATTTATGGATTGAGAATACGCTGAATGTAATTGTTTCTCTGCCAAGCCACTCGCATATTTCTCAAATGGTATTTGAATATTTCTAGGCGCTAAACCTTGTTGTTGTAGATATTGTGCCGATTGTCGCATTTTTTGTGCATAACTTTCTTCTGAATAATATTTATCAGAGCTAGGATCGTAATATGAATTAATATCTAAGCTTGATTTCGGTCGTTTGGGTTGTTTAGTCTCATAGGTATGAGTTGGCAAACTTTTATTCATTTCGTTTTTAGATTCATATTCCAAAAAGTCAGCACTATGTGGTCTTGGCATCGGCGGTTGAATGCCACTTGCTTGCATTTTCTTTCTTCTTAATACAGACGGTCCGCTAAATGTTTTCTCCTGGGGCTGAAATACAATGGAATAAAAATGTCAGACGAATAATTTGCATAAAGCAAACCTATATTTTTTAACGTATAAAAATCTAGAAACAAGTGAAACGAACTTTTTTGTCAATTTATTCACTGCTAGTGTTTTTTAGAAAAGCTAATTTGGACTACCTTGGAATTTGTAAAATATGTTTTGACAAAAATATTAAAACTTACCTGAGTAGGTGTTTGATCTTGAGGGGACTTGTGACTAGATAGGCTGAGAGTATCTTTAGCTTGTGATGTAGTCGGCGACTTCACATATTTATCATTATATGCCGCATAAATGTCTTCATAATCTCCTATTTTTTCTGTATTATAAGCCGACATTGCCGTTGAACGTCCATAAGCATCAGGAGTCCGCCTTTCCGCTAATCTTTCATTCATCGTCATTTTTGATTTATTTATGTCATATGTTTTTGTGTTTGTTCGAGTTTCTGGATAACTTTCATTGTATATTTTGTTAGCTTCTGGCGTTGGCTTATCGCTTGGCTTTTCATTATAATCTTGAAACGGATTGTAGTTTGGTTGTTTATCGTACACACTTTCAATTTTATCATCTGGATGTTCATTCCTAGACCTATTGTTAAAATAAGGAGATTGTGGATTAGATTTATATTGGGATGGGGTGTTAGGTTTTTTCTGAATAGATTCGTTATTTAAGGGTAATGATAAATTTTGCGTGTCGTATCGTTTTGTTTGATAAATTGGCGGTGATTGAGGACTGCGTGTGTAGTTCTCCTGATTGTATGTTTCCTGATATCGAGTGCCCTGGCTGTAATGTGATGCTGGTTTTTTAAGGAGATCGTAATTTGGATCGTACCTGTAATTTTTTGGAATATCGTTTATAAGCCAATCTATTTAAAATGATTTCAATTTAATTTATGAAATATTAATTATTCATAATAGAAATATTGTATCAAATACACTTTCGTTAAAGTACATTTGAACAATAAGTTATAGTCCTCATAATCAAATCATTTTATTTCTAAAATTGTAACTAAAACTTACATATCCGGACTAGGAGAGTTGTATCCGTCATTAGAACGCCGTGGTTTTGGAGGGGCATTGGCATATGTCGGACCTGCATCATCCCCATCCTGCAAAATAATATTATTTAATTATACAAATATGAAAATGAACTCATTCAGAGTGTAAATACTACTTCTTAACCATGTAATGGCACAATACATTTAAATTATCAGTTATCTAATATTTTGAAACTATTTTATTTTATTTGGGAAACAAACAGTACAAAGTAATACTATTAAAAAACATCGACCAATCAAGAATACAACAACTATTTTTAACTATATATCTCCATTCACACGTGAGGGCCATAGGCCAAATTTAGTGAAAATATAAAATTACTTCAAGCAATTTATACTTAACCACATTAATTTCAATTTGTTACATTGTTATTTTAAAATTTAAAAAGATCTTTATTATCAACTGTTTATAAAAGGTTAAAATAATCGCCATATGCAGCAATTCAATCCGCAGTCTCCTACGCAGTAGAAATTACGAGTCAAATATTATACTACATTACAACATAACAGTCGTTAAGAGTACATGAAATAATATTCTTTAGAAGAGACTTTTCCTTATATAAAATGCATAAACAATAAACATACAAAAAATTATATACTTGTGTCAATCTATAGACAACTATGTTAAAAATATACCAAAAAGTATGTCTTAGCATAGTTGTCTATAGATCTTTACACTTTCAATTAAATGCAAGCCAATTTTGCAATTGCTTTATTTTGCGGCGACATCCAATTATTTACAGCTATAACCACATAATATCGGTTCTGCTCTAGTGGACTAATTGTCACCTGTATCGGTAAATGTTCGTACAATACCAACCTCTGCCTTTGCAGTTGTCCGGTCATTTTCCTTGTGTTGCGCACTGAAAAAATAATTAAAACTTTGATTAATGATTTAGCAAGCAATGTAATATACTATATTTCTTCCTAATTATCATAGCTTTTTTATCTATAGCTTTTTTATATATTATATTTGATGAACATTTATAATATAATAGTCTATCAAGTGTAATCTTTTAAGTATCTAACATGATTGATTAGTATAGAGCTCAAATATTATTACAACACTACATCTTACTTAGGGTTTTGCATAAGAGCTGCCATAGTGAGTGCTTTAACCCATTTCATCATAGCTTCCTGATCTAACGCAGCCAACACGTAAGTGCGCATATTTGCGTGTTCTAGTTTAAAGGCAAATTTTCTCATCACTTTATCTTCTGCTGAACATGCTGAGACTTTATATGAAGGCAACAATACTGATCCTAGAAGCTTTTCTTCGTCTTGACCTAAAAATATAAAATATGATAGTATGTTGTAAGCTTTTTATTATAAGCTCTTATATTTACCCATATAATCATTACCAAAATACAATACTACAAACTATTGTTTTTATGCATTTAATATAAGATTTTCAGTGTAAAAGTCATATACATTGAATTATGTTAATGCTTTTGAAAAATATAAGATCAAATTATAAATACTTTTACTGAAGGAAAAAATTTGAATAATTAAAAACATGAATATAATACTCACTTTTATAATAAAATAGGCAGTATTCAGATAAAACAAACCATCTCTTCCTCCAAACTTTTAAACCGTCAGATCCTTGTTTGTAAAGTAATCCAGCTAAGGTTACAGGAGCAGAGGGTATTCTTTGAGCGGTCGGGGAGCGTAATGCTTGCGTTCCACTACTCCGACGACTTTCTGAAGATGGAGATTTAATGCTAGGTGTACTTGATTCACTAGATTTCATTGGTGAAACTAATCCTGACTTTTGGCTATTGAATTCTGATGATTTTGCCTTATCTTGTTCTTGTAGTTTTTGCCTGTCTTCTTGATAATCTGGACTTATTTGCCATTGGGAATCTTGATATTGTCTATTCTGTATATCTCTATCTTTGTACTCATTATTCTTAGCATACATATCCATATCCTTTTGCAGGTCTGGACTGCTGTATTCTTTAAAATCACTTTTACTGCTATACAAATCTCTATAGGAACTGTCTGAATATATACTATTTTGTAAGTTTGGAGGTGGTTGAACACCGTGTATTTGTTGTAATAAAAGTTGTCGCTCTGCAAACTTCTGTTGTTGATGCATTTGTGCTTGATTCTGATAATGCATTTGCTGTTGCATTTTCATTTGTTGTATTTCATTATATTGTCTTCTCAATAACTCGGTGTTACTCTGCGGTCCTATTCGATTAGAATAAGGTAGATACGGCTTCGAAGCGTACTGATTAACATTAGGCCTATACATAGGTTGATGGTTTTGATATATTTGGTTATTATCTTTCGGTGGGTTTCGTTTTAAATAGTCTTGATAAACTTCTGCGTTATATCCTTTTGGAATATTATGCAGTAGTTCGTGATTAACATTTTGGTCTGTGTGTATTTCGGTTCTTTCAAACCTAGGTGGAGACTGAGGATAATTGAAGTTATCGTTCGCTCCATAGTGTCTGGCGTAATCGTGATTATGTCCGGTTCCATACATTTCGTGCCTGTTTTCAAGGAGAGGCGATCGTGCATTCATGTTGGAATGATATTGACTTTGCAATAGCTGGTGCATGACGCCATTGGGTTGAATTTGCGATTGATTATTTAAATGTGTGGGTATTTGTGAGTTTTGTGGAGAATATATCTGATCGGGGTGAACATGATGCGCCATAAGATGTTGTTGTGTAAGTGGTTGCTGTGTAGCTGTTACATTTTTTTTATTCTCCATTTGAAATTGTGTTTGGGTTACCGGTGGGTCAATCCTGAAACAAACAAAAGACGTATATTAAATATATATCCAGAATTATAAGCAAAGATATCACGTGTTAACTTGTTTATGAAACAAATCTCGAATAAATAACTTCGCGTGTGCTGCATTTACAGAAATATTTCAATTCGAATAGCTTAATCAAAACGTTATCGCGCCTTTGATAACATGCGTGTTTGAACTGAAAAGAACTCAATATTCTGTTGACACGTTATAGTTCGTTTAATAAGTAAAATACTGAAGATACATTTCAAAGGCGCATATCTATTTATAAACAACTTTAATGAGTTTGCAATAGGCTTGAGAAAATTCATTATAATTACTCAATAAGAATAAAGTAAATAAAAATACCATATAAAAACATACAAACGTATATGTACAGGTATATTATAGCATAGGTACTATTAATTTATAAAAACTTTTTCAACTCAGACTATTACTGTTGTTTTTATTGTACACTAGCGACCTACTCTCGCTTCGATCGGGCGCGTCCCTAGGTACGTTTTTTTTTTTTGAGCAGAACCTTAATTCTTTTTAATTAATAAAATAAAAGTAGCCTAAGTTACTCCTTTTAATATCAGCTATCTATCAGTGAAAGTCCCGTCAAAATCAGTCTAGCCGCTTCGGAGATTAGCCGGAACAAACAGACAGATAGACCGACAGACAGACAGACAAAAATATTAAAAATTATTTTTTTCTTATAAGTACCGTATACAATTTCATATGCATTAAGTAAAAAGCTGTTATTTTTACATTACAAACAGACACTTCAATTTTATTTATCTGATGATCTAGACGTGCATAATGTTCAAATATTTACTATGTGGCTTACTCAAGCGATATAAAGAAAACAATGAGTCTTCTAGACAAATAATAATGTATGTGAGACTGTAATTGCCTACATGCTTGAATTATTTTTCCCACGCATATCGAGACTTAACAAATAAACCATGTATTAATTATAATTTAAGGTTTACTTATTGTACACTGCAATATAGTATCGAGTTAATCGATCGTTAAGAAAGTGCATAAATAATAATATTTTTGTTCTTTTTGATAATTAGGAAAAAGAACACGTAATTAAGTGCGAATATTTGTAGGCATAGGACAATCTATGGGCTGGAGGGGCATTCGTTTTTCAAAACCATTTTCCTTGGAGACTATTAGCTAAGAAATTTGGAAGATAGGGTCTAGTTTCATGAGCAACTAAACAATGTAATGATATTACAAAAAATAAAAAGATAGAGGTTGTACCTGTTCAAAACATATAACTGAATACACATAAACATGTGTGGTACCTATTATAATTTGATTTTTTAAATAAATAATCAAAATGTGTTAAGTATTTTTTTAAGTATGAAATACTTACATTCGTTTGTAATGTTAACTTGGTACTTCATAGAGATACTATGAATTACAAAATTATTAATGACTAGCGACTCATCCTCGCTCCGCTCGGGTTCGTCCCTACTTACGTTTTAACTTTTAGCATAAATTTCTCAGAGACGACATATTTTCCCGCAGTAAAAAGTATCCTATATGTTGACCCGGATAACCAGCTACTATGATACCAAATTTAATTAAAATCCCACCAGTGGTTTTTTAGTGATGAGGTCACAGACAGACAGACAGACAGACAGACAGACAGACAAAAATCCTAAAATCTATAGTTTCGGCCTCTGAATCGATAATAATGTCTATTTCAATAAGATTTTCCAAAAAATATTTAATGTACATATTCAGCTCAGTTATAATTTTATTATATGTATAGATATACCACGAAAATGAATATTATGAATGGTTAAATATATGGTTTTATTTTTAATGTAACAAATTACGTAAATTAAAACATGAACTAAGAAATACAGTGACGAGTCGCTAGTAGATAACTTATTCAAATTTTGATTGTTGTCACTTTTTTTTTAATTTTCATAAAGATAATATTATAATTGTATTTAGATAATATTATTATAGTTGTAGAAATTAACTTTCCCACGGCGAAATTTCATAATATTACCAAAAATAATTAATTTTTTGTTACAATAATGTTAGTTTTAATTGAAGTTTTAATAGAATTTCGTCACTATGTAGTCAGACGTTAAATAGGTACACACACTACTTAGACGTTTAGCAGGGACATAAATTGTATTATAGAAACTTAACGGGTAGCTAGTGTGATAAAAAGATTTATGCTCATATCTTACTCTTTAGAAAGCTAATAAAATCAATATTATTTTATAAAGCTAAAAATGTATTATTTTATAGTTTATAATATGTGTGTGTTTTGAGCGCTTTAACCTACATATCTGATTATTATAGATTTGAACCGGAGCCGCGCCCATGAGCTATATCTTAATAAAAAACAAAACCATTTAACCATCGATCGCAATCTTACTTCTTAAGTTAGTATCTATTTTAATCGAAACGTGAGAATATCTTGTATATGGTAACGACAGGAAATATAAACATAGAGTGGCTTGTCTTGTGCTGTCACTGTGGTCACTTCCTTGGCTGTTAATGACTCGTCAATCATTAGTTTGAAAGAAGGAAGTATGGTAATGATCTATATCTATTTCTAACTAGCGGCTCACCCTCGCTTCGCTCGGGTTCGTCGCTACGTACGATTTATATGTATATATATAAACAGTTATTACCCAGCATTACCCAGCATTATCATATATAAACAGTTATTATTTAAATTTTTCTTTCATAAGAACCTTCTCCTGACAATAACAAAAAACAAAAAAAATAGTTAAATCGGTCCAGCCGTTCACGCGTGATGGCGTGACCAAGGGAAATAGGGATTAATTTTTACATATATAGATGTAACTCCAGAGAACACTACGACTTGAAATGACGTCGTTCATTCAAGATGACGTTCAAATTATGTTGAACAAAAAGATAAGAAATTTAGAGTGTTATTAAGATTTTGATATTACTTATTCGACGACGAATGTGTCGTATATTAACTTCATAACATCTATTTCCGAGATTTTCAGTTTCATATTTTTGTAAACAAATCTTTTAACTTTCTACTATTATCATTGTTGACTATATATTACCTTATAACTATAAATAATAAAAACCTCTCTGTCTAACTAACTTTATGCAACGAAAAAATTCTCAGCGTCCAGTTTGCTTTCAAAAATTATTATTAACAATACTTTTAATTATGAAAGTCTTGAGAACCTGTTCATAAATTGCAAACAATCGACGTAACTTTAGACCTTTTTTGTGTCTAATTATTCTACATTTTATGCTTCAATGCAGATTTGTATACATAGACCGGTACTATCGTGTGATAATAATTCGCAAGCTATTCAGGGAATAGTCTAGTTGGCGGACGGCCAGGCCGCAATCCTGAGACCACGTAAGAGACGACCGATTAATCCCATTTCAATGTCAAACTTAGCAATGACCTGATTTTTGACAAGAAAATATTCATTTGCGACACTGCGACATGTTGCAGATTCGAATGCTCTCTTTTAGTTATTGTGACATGACAATTTATATGAAATATGTTAAAGAAAATTATATAAAGTTTTATACTTAATTATGTTGTTAAAAACAATCATTGTTATCCGTTATAACAATTTTTTAATACAATTAGCATTGCCCGCGGCTTCCCCCGCGTTCAGATGACCAAAAACCAAATGCTTAGGTTTTACATATTACGAGTATACTCTTACATTGCAGTTTTTGAATTTTTCTCAGAATTGAGCCATTTTCCCGCGGTAAAAAGTATCCTATATGTTGACCCGTATAACAAGCTATCACCATACCAAATTTTATCTAAATCCCTCTAGTGGTTTTTCTGTAATGCGGTAACAGACAGACAGACAAAAATTCTAAAAACTATATATTCGGACTTTGTATCGATAGTAATGTCTATTTCAATTAGATTTTCCAAAAAATGTTTAATGTACAGATTCGACTTAGTTACAATTTTATTATATGTATAGATTTCTCCTTTTACCAGTTTGAAACCTATTATAAAATTTTAAAACATACTCTTACATTTAAACATATAAATATTAAACAATAACAAAATGTTTATATTTTCTTTTAGAGGTATATTCGACGTTGTGTATACGCTTAATTTCCAGTTCTGATTCATTTTTAATAGGCAAGGAATAAAAGACGTATACAGAAAGGGTTCAAAGCATTCTTTTTGTAGTTTTCAGGCTATTTTATTCATCGTGCTCCACTTCGTGCACATAATGAGTTTTCTAATTTTCCGCATGGCAGGTAAAATTTCATTTGTTTATTTTACACTTTGCATAAAACTTCTTAGTATATATTATTGTTATATAAAATTACTAGGAGAACCCGCAAAACTACAAAAAATCTCTAAAAAGGTAGTTTCATACAAACGTTCATCACCTATTTTACGTCCTTATATGATGAATTTCGAAAAATGTTAAAACACGTATTTATTTAATCTTAGTAAAGAGCATTAATTAATACCAATTTCAAGTATATTTTTTGCATTGTATTATAACGTGCTTTCCCGTGGGAATTAGATAATCTCCCGCGGTAAAAATTAGCCTATGTCACTCTCCAGCCCTCCAACTATCTCCATACAAAAAATCGCGCCAATCCATCTCTCCGTTTCGACGTGAAAGAAGGACTAACAAACTAACACACTTTCACATTTTTAATATTAGTATGGATTATATAACCTGAAACCTATATAGGGAATACTATTAAGCTCTGCCTGTAGTAGCCTATTTTTTATCCCCATGATAGATACTCATACTTCGCAATTTGTTCAACAGTTTACACATGGAAATGTAACAAACAAACGGTTATGAAATGCAAATAGCATATTAAGTAATAAATATTACCTTTAATAACTTCATTATTATAACAATAATTATTTTATCCACTGAAATAATCAAAACGCAGCCTTGATATTTTGAGTCCATATAATTTCAACACTCCCTTGTCAGTGCAACGCT